AAGTCAAGTGCAGGCGCGCACCGGTTTGCGCTTCTCGCTCTCGCGCAGTGTAGGTTCGCTCTCGCGAATGTGAGGGGTAGCACGGGCGTGTTCCTCGGCACGGCTTGAGGTGTGCATTCTCTCTGTCTCTCTTGGTTTGTTCTGCCTTGCTCCAGACACGCCGTGCTTCGCGACACGGGCTGGGGCGTGCCAATTGCTACTTGCTTTATTTTGTTCTTTTCTTTGCAAAATCTACAATTTTCTTCCAATCAAGTGAGTTGGATTAAAGGAAGCTTTGAATTAAAAACATATCAAATATTACGTAAAAACTAATTTAAATAAAATTTAAAAGTAATAGAAATTTCAATCAAAATTGCAATAAAATACTATAAAAATCAATCACATCAATGATCCATTGCATTCCATTTCTGATTTCTGATCAACTATATGTATCTTTTTTAACCTGCACGTGACTCTAGAATTAGCCTGAAATTACTGAAAAAATGGCAATTCGGACAGAAGGAAATTGCTTGGTGATATTGCAATGGCGCGGTGAAGCTTAGGGTGTTTATTGTCATGCATATCTAACGACTGCTTTTCTCCACGATTCCAATTGTGCATCTATCTCTCTTTGAAAGAGCTGTCAGGGAAGTAATAAAACGCACTCGTTGAAACTGGATCTAACGGAAAAAGGCCATGAATGTTTTTTAGCAATCTCCCCCCCACTGTAAAACTGTTGATGCCCACTTTCCTCAGCAGAAGCCAGGAGGGCATTGCAACGAAGTTCTAACGTCTCTGATTGCTTCATCAGAGAAGCCCAAGGAAATATGAGAAGGATTTATTAAGCATTTGTGAAAACAACATCTATTGCCTGGGAAGAGGACTTGAGAAGACCTTGTCCTGCAATTCTAAGAATTCTTCTGTGACAATTCCTGGGGCATGCCGCCTTATGTATTACATGGTATATCTTTTTCTTCGATCTTCAATCTTTTAAACCCCTTATTGTATTGGTCTTAATAGTTTTCAAATGGAATCATTTCCTTTCTTTGACTGCTTGCGAGTTTGTCTCCATATGTTTTTCTTGATAGAATTCTGTTACAGAGCAAAGGGAATCAGATCAGAACCTACAGATTCTTCGAGTTCTTTTGATTCAGAAAAAAAGACTTTCTACTCTTTTGTTTTGCTGCCTTCCCCTCAGGATAAATAAATAAATAAATAAAGATATTAAAACATATGTGAGAAAATATCCAGTAACCATTAAAAAAGTTACTTTAAAATTCGAAAGGAATAAAGAAACATTTCAGCTTAACAAAGAGCAGATAAAAGCAGAGTACATCGAT